GATGGGGGTGAACGAGACAGCTTGCTGCGTTCTCGCTGGGGCCTTGATCACTGCTCCATGTCAATCAACTAGAACCACACGCGCGCCTCGCGCGCTTATGTTCTAGCAGGCAACCCCCGATACCCTCCCATGACAAACTCACAACTGCTTGCATATACGCACAAAACCAAATATGAAGTGGCCGTGAGTTGAAGCAGTATCGCGGAGGCGGACCGATCATATACACATTACCGACAGAGGTACGCCCAGGCGCCTTCAAAGCCACGTAATGCAAAACAATGCGACGCCTCGAAACACATTGAATACTCTGCAATGGCAGAACACAACAATACGCGTTGTCATCTTAAGCGGATGTAGCGACAACCCGTCGTAACGCAAAGAAACGCTACGCATTTGAAGGGGCAGTTCGCAAAGCAACTGCAAGTCAAGGCGATGCAAATCCAGACAACGCATAACAATGTACAGGAATACGTGACAAAGCGTCAGTAGCCGCACCAGATGCAATGCGAAACACTGTGCTGCAGTCGGATGAAATAAATCCGACAAGCCCAGCAACCCAGGGAACGTGGAGTTCGGACGGCGTAGCGACGGAGAATCCGACGACAGAACCCTGGGAACCTGGGCTGAATGTCGTAAGTGCCACCAGGCCCGTGCACGGAGGAAGAGCTAGAGAGGGGAGGAAGAAAGTGAAGGGAAAGGTGAAAATTCGGGTCGCAGCAGGGATGAGAGAACATTCAAATAAGGGGACGGCGGGAAGAGAGACAGAGGGAGGCGAAAAAGTAAGGCGGGATGCAGGAGCAAGGAGGGAAAACATGGGATATGACAGGGTACAACAAGTACGTAACACCCTGCAGTTGCGGATAAGTGTGGGGGGGGGGACGTCGGCAGTCTACGAGGCTCTGAAGAAGCCTGCCGCGGGCGCCTAATTTTAACAAATCATTTAACGAGCTCGCCGCAGGCGCCGATTTGTTCGTTCAAGCAATGTGGGTGGGTCGTGGGGGTGGGTCGCGGGCTGGGTCACGGATGGGTCGCGGGCTGGGTCGCGGGTGGGTCGCGGGTGGGTCGCGGGCCGGGTCGCGGGTGGGTCGCGGGGGGGACGACGACAACATCCAACAAACAACAAACAACACACAACAAGCAATACATAAGAAATAACAGCAACAACAACGGCAACAGCAACAACAGCAACAGCTGTTGCAAAAGCAACAGCAACAGCAACAACAACAACACCAACCACAACAACCTACTGGCACGCGTGTCTTTCATTCTGTATACCCAAACCCTCGATACCCGCCAGCTTCGTCTTTGATCGCACCCCCTTTCGGGGGGAATCTCTTCCCTGTCGGCCACTGGCTGAAGTGCGAGGTGCTCTCGAGCGAGAGCGCCGTTCCTGAGTTCGGGGGCCTCTTTGGCCAGGGGCTCTCGATATTCCTCTTCCTATATTTTTACAAGCCCGGGCGGGGGAACACCCGTCCCCCCCTCCAAAACTGGACTCCCGGGATCTGGGGCTTTGGGACTCTCCGGACGGCCCGAAGCGGCCCCCCGGGCCTCGCAGGGCGTTTTGCCAAGCCTTGCCAGCACACCTAGGGCGATCAGGGGGGTCATCGGAGACGTCCCAGAGACCCCCAAGACAGCACAAGAGCGCTCCAAGAGTGACCGACGTGACCTCAAGATGGCCCAAAAGGCCTCCAGGACGGCCCCAAAGAGGCCTCCAAGAGCACTCCCAAGAAGGCCCCAAGAGGCACAAATCTTTGATTTTTGATTGTTTTTTGCTGAATTTTGGGATTCTCCTCTTTTCGGCTTCCCGACGCTCCAAAACGGCGGTCTTCTGGGCGTCCGAAGCCGCCTGGGAGGCTCCAACATCGCCCCACAACCATCCGAAAGGGCTTCCAAGCAGTCCAAGAGAGCACCAAAACGGCACAACACGGGTCCAAGATGGCCTTCAGAGAGCCCTATGGCGGCCCAAGATGGCCCCAAGACACCCTCCGAAGCATTCCAAATCGTGACCCGGTCGTTCAGGGAGACCGCGGTTGGAGGCAGGGTGGCCCGAGGAAGTCCCCAGAGGCCCCCAGAATACGCCCAGGAGGTCTCCAGAAGGCCTTAAGAAAGCCTGAAACAACTTTTGTGAGGCCCCCAGAGGCTCTCCAAGGAGGAGCCTCCGCAAAAAAGAGCTGAGGAGGATGGGGAGAATGCTTAGGGTCCTTCCTGCTAGTCCGCCTGCGTACCAAACTTCAAGGACCAAGGTGCATGTCGCGAAGCGCCACTGCAGCCTCGTGTGTGTATCTATAGATATATATAAAAATAGTGTATATATGTATATATAGGTATATGTATATGTATATGTATATGTGTATGTATGTATGTATGTATGTATGTATGTATGTATGTATATATATATATATATATATATAGATATCTCGCCGTGTCTGGGCCTCCACCAACTTGCCTGAATTACGAAGACATCTGAAGCAATAGCGCCACTCTTGAGTTCGGGGGCCTCTCTGGCCAGGGCCTCTGGGAATACACCTTGAGGACGTATCGCACGAGAGCCCTTGTCGTCGTAGTTGGGCCTCCACCGATTTGACTGAATCGCGAGAACGTCTCGAGCGAGAGCGCCGTCTCTGAGTTCGGTGGCCTTCCTGGCCAGGGGCTCTCGGAGTAAGTCGTGAGGGAGTATCGAGCAGGAGCCCTTGTAATCGTGGCTGGGCCTCCGCTAACTTGACTGAATTGCGAGGAAGTCTCGAGCGAGAGCGAGGAACTACGAGGCCCTCGTGGTGCTATCGTGGACTTGTGGGGCCGTATCTGAAGAACATGTTGAAACAGAATTCATGGGGTCTCTGTCTGTTTGGGCCAGCTGGGAGACCTGTGATTACTCTCGAAGGGCCCGTTGGGTGGCAACTTTGCAACCGCTAGGACACTGGGCTCTTTACGCAAGTAGGGTGTAATTGGAATATCTCGGAGCATTTTCGGCCCTTCCAGAAACGCACGGAACTACGACTCGAGCGGGGGCGTAAGAGGAATCCCTTGGAAAGCTCGATGAAATCTGCAGTTTCTCGCTTCGCGTCATTGTAACTGATCTTCGGTCCATCCTGCCTCCGTGCCTGCCTTGCAGGTCAGAGTTCCTTGGATGCCTGTTGGGGTCTCTCGGGAAATCTCTGGGGAACCTCTTGGAGGTAGTGTTGAAGCCTCCTGGGACCTCTTGGGGGCCAGTTGGGGCTCTCTGGGCACCTTTTTGGAACATCTTGGCGGCCTCTTGAGCTTTCTTGTGTGGCTCTTGTGGGCCTCGTGGTGGTGTCGGAAGTCCCTCTTGAGCGGAGTGCCCGAATTGTTAGTTCGAGTTTTTTAGTCCCGGGCTTCTCCTGGGGCTCTCTTGGTCTAGGGGCTCGTTTGGGGGCCTCTTTGGCTGTCCCGAGCGTGATCTTGGGGGTCTCTCGGGGATCTTGGGGGCCCCTTGGGCCGTCCTCGACGTCGCGAAACCCACCCCAAAAAAAACCTGCACCAAAATGTGGTTCTCCCTTCAAGCACGGGGCGATTTTTGCCCCTTGGGGCCCTCTTGCAACCGTCCTGGGGCGTCTTGAGGCTACCTGGGGCCGTCCGAAAGCCACGCGGGGCATCTTGCGGCCTCCTGGTGTCTCTCCGACGCCGCTCTTAAAGCCACCCTGGCGGCCTCCGGGCGTCGTCTGAGGCCGCCCCTTGAGGCTCGGAGGGCTCCCGGGGGGCCCCCGGAGGCAACGCTTGACGCTGGGGGAACAGGGGGGTAATTTGCGCCGCCCCTGGGCCCCAGGGACCTCGACGCCGGTTATATATTTGAGTGTGGGCGGAGGGGCGCATTCTTTGCAGCAGACGCAGCACGGCTTGCTCTGACGATTTAAAGGGGCTTTAAATCACACGATTGCTTAATCCGCGGACCTCGTCCGTTTCAAGTCACACCGTGTAGAGAGGGGGGGGAAAAGGGCGGGACACACAAGAGAGACCTAGAGCCACAGTGGTTGCGGAAGGCACGCTTCCCAGCCCCCCTCCTGGCACTCACTACCCTGTACACAGATCCATGAGTGTGGGCGGAAGGGCACATTCTTTGCAGCAGACGCAGCACGGCTTGCTCTGACGATTTAAAGGGGCTTTAAATCACACGATTGCGCAATCCGCGGACCTCGTCCGTTTCAAGACACACCCTTACCCATAACATGTCCTGGGCGGGTGGGTGGGGCACCAGCGACTCAGAAGTTGGCCTATGTGGAGACAAAACTGGGGAGGGTAGGCAGACGCGACCTTGGACCACAGCTGTTTGTTGTCCGGAGTGCGTCCTGCGATCTCAGTGTGAGGCTGGCCAGAGAACGAACAGTGCCCTCCCCTCCCCGCGCAACGGGCCCCAGCGAGCTCCTCCAGAGGCAGGTGGGGGAACAACAGGGTCGTGCGCTTTCTGTACGGTGTGCCGAAGGTATAGTTGTTTATCTGGACAGAGTTATACTTATTTAGCAGACGTTTAAACCCAGGGAGCTCCCACAACATGCTTGAGGCGGGGTTCTCGATCAGGCAAGGCACGCGTAGACACGAGAGGGTGTTGAAAAGTTTGGCGGCCCACTTAGCTCGTTTGTTGCCCTCCAGGACCTTCCGACGATCACTGGGGGGAAGGTCGGGGAGGCCGAGCAGGCGCTCACGGTTGCGAATTGGTGCTGGCCAGCCTTTTTTGCCCGACCGGTTCCGCCTTGCACGGGACCAGGACGTGCACACAAGGCCAATCCAGCACATAACAAAAACATTATGGGAGGCAGCTTCGAGCAGGCGCCTCGAGACATCTTTATGCAAGCGGTCCTCTAGCGGGGAGTCGGCCAACTCCCAGCTACGTGTAAAAAAGCCAACGCTCTTGCAAGCAATGCTGATGCCGCGACTGCCCGCCATCAGCTCTGCCACGACCCAACCTGGCCGAGGGACAGTAGGGGCGAGGATGAGGCCGCCTCGCGGGCCCCAGTCGCCCCAGGCCGAAAAGGGGCGGGCACGACTCACTTGGGGATGGTCTCTGCGGCGACGGTCCGCTGGAACAACGACCCCATCACCTCGAACATCTGTCGGCCGAAGTCCCTCGAGGCAGGGGTCGTGGCGTTGAGGAGTTGGTGCGCTGCTCCGGGCTTCCCGTACCTGTTCAGGGACGAGTCTGTCCTCCAATGCCCTCGAGCCTTCACGGTCTTCCGATCCCGCCGGCCCGACAGGATGACGTCCGACGCTCCCCCGTGTCGCAGCTGGTAGAGACAGACCCGGGGGAGGCCGCGCTTCCTGGCTGCGACTCCGAACTGGGCCGCCACGAACGCGCCGGGGGTGGGGGAGATCAGGTCGGTCGGCGCCTTCCCGCGAACATGGGCCGCCAGGCACTCGCTGAGCCAGGCTGGGTGGTCGAGGATCACGGTCTCGTCTGAGGTGCCTGTCTTGGTGAGCTCTCGATGGGGGCCCCTCGGATCGCCTGGCGCGCCCGCGTCCATCTGGGTCGGGGCGAGGATCAGGCTCCAGCGCTGCAACTGCCCCGAGGCCCTCGAGGGGGCCAACAGCTGCCGTACTTGTAGCTTCCGAAGGGCTCCTGGGCGGATGTAGGTGAAGAAGGTCGACGCCACCTGGAGCGCACAGTCCCTCTGCGCCCGCGCCGGCATCTCGGACGCGGCAGCGCCGAGGAGTTCCCGAGGCCCGGGGGCCCTGGAAGCAGGGGGCCTGCGCTTGGTGTAGCCTCGTAGCCCTCTGTTCACGCGCGGCATCGACTGAGAGCCTGCGCCGCGGGTAGGCGTCCTTGACAGCCGCGACCAGGATGGTCGCGTCGGCTCGGGTGCACTCCGCCTCCAGCATGAGGTCGAGGAACTGCAGCGCCCGCACCTCCATGTCCTCGACGGTCGACGGCGCCCCCCCCTCCTCCGCGAAGAACACCTGAAACGCATCGGAGTACGCCCTGTAGCCGACGCGCGTCGCGTCGGCCGCCGCGGCCAGCTCGCACCTGGAGAGCGCCATGGCCGAGGCGGGGCTGCTCCGGTTGGGCTCCAGGGCCTTGGCCAGCCGGGCGTGCAGCTGGGGCGGCGGCACCGGTGCGTGCGCCGCTGGCCGCGCCCGCGCCGCGCGGGGGGCGGCACTGGCGGCGGGCTTGCGGCGTGCCGCTGGCCTCTTGGCCGGGGCCGCCCCGCCCGCCAGGCCGCTCGGCCTGCGCGCCAGCCCCTCGGCCGCTGCGGCGGTCGCCAGGCGGCGCCTCTTGGGCCTTGGCCCCAAGGTCGACACGGGCAGGCGGTCCGAGCTGCTCTGCGGCTCCTCCACGAAGGTGCCGCGCCCAGCCACGCGCAGCGGGCCCAGCATGCACCAACGAGAGGCCCTCGAACGTCCTCGAGGCCTCGTCGGCTGGTTGCCATTCCGACGGGATCCACCAGAAGTGCGGCCCGATGTTGGTGGCCAGGGTTAGAGCCGCAAGGCGACGGTTCAGTTGTAACATACAGTATGACGGCGATCGGCCCCTATCGAAACAGCAGCAGATGCCGAAATTGTCGAGCAGGAGTAAGTGACGATGATGATGGTGAGAGGGGTCCTTGGCGAGACGGCGTAGAGCCCATAGCATGGCCCTCCCCTCCTTCAGCCCGATGTGTTCGATGTAGCGATACGGCCCCTTGTAGACAACCCTCCACCCCTCTCTATGTAGAACATGACGAGGGACCTCTGGGAACCCCGCGATTTTTGCCCACCCATCGATGACATTGTTGGTGAGGACGGTAGCAGGATCGGTGATCTCAGGGAAATCGTCGAGGGCTCTCCTTCGGGGGGCCCACTCTTCGGGATGGAGACGTTTGAACCTCCACTTCTCATGCCACCTTCCGAGCTCCGAAACTTCCGAGGTATCCAATTTCTTCTCGCACACTCCGAAGCCCGTCGTGGAGGCATCGGTGGCCGTCGCGGTCGACGACCATGGCCTGTCTAACTGGCTCCCAGCACCGCTGCAACGGCGGAGAAAATCCACGCCTCGTACCGGCAAGAGCGCCAGAGTCGACAAGGCCGCAAGTAACGATCACGAATAAAATCATATAGAGCACGAGGGACAGACATCCCTGCGTGGTTGAAAAGCGCTGCGGCGACACAAGGACCGACCACCACTTCAACTTGCCGGCCAGTCACGATGGGGCCGCTCGCTAGCCAATGCAGCGCACCTCGGAGCACCCGCAGCTTCTGCCCGGCACGCCTGGTTACGGGCGGATGGCCCCCCACGTCGGCGCCCAGGATAGTCGAGTGCACGCTGGTCTCTGAGATCTCGTGCATGCTGAAGCCCTCCTCGGGGAAGCGGGCCACGACGCGGTCCCTCAGCTCGGTGACTTCTTCAGCCCTCACACCCAGCACGTTGATGTTGTCCGAGTGGGGCAACTCCACGGGGCCTGAGGTCAAGGGCGGCAGCGGCCAGGCTCCCAGGGCGATCCTGTCGTCGGGGACCGCTGCGCGGCGCAGCATCTCCAGGTGGACACGCTGCGCCGACCAGAAACTCCAGCTCCATCCCATGGGAAGGACAACGAGGCAGGGGTGAACCCTCTCACGCCAAGTGAACTCCTGGCCGCACACGTCCGCGGCCAGGCCGAGCTCGAGGGCCACGTCGACGGGCACCGAGGGCAGGCAGAAATAGTTACTCAACCTCCCGATGCCGCCGCACTGGTAGAAGCAGGCCTCGATGTCGGCCGAGGCAGCGTACAGCTCCTGGCCGGGCTCCAGCTCGATAGCGCTCGTCGCCTCGGAGCTCCCAATCTCAGCGGTGGGGGCGTGGGCGAAGAGAGTGTTGGCGAGCCGGCAGTCCAGCGCGAGCCTCTGCTTCCCGTTCTTCTTGGCCGCGAAGAAGGGGGTCGCAAGACTCAGCGACTCCGGCGCCACTCCAAGTAGACGTCGATCCATCAGGCGCCGGAGAAAGTCCACGTGGGCCTTCTTGTCAGCCCGCAAGGTGACGTCGAAGTAGGGGCGCGAAGGCGTGCGACCCCTACGCTCGGAGACGACGTCGGGGCTCGCGAGGATGAGGTCTTCGAAGTTGGTCAGCACCTTCCGAGCATCCATGTCCAGCGCCCTCGCGATGTCCACCGGGTCCCGCCCGGCGGGGGGGAGAGATAGCCGTTCAGCGTCATATGGTTGCACTGCACTACCATCACCTCCATAATCGATACGAGGTCCCAGAAACTGAGCCGCAGCTTCATGGGGAAAAAGTTGATCAAAATTCTGCCGAGCCTCCCTGGCGGTGTGCAGCAGGTGTCGATGCACCGAGGACTGCGCTGGGCTCGCCGCCCCACCGCGTCGCGCTCACAGCCGTAGAGGGCGTTGAGCGCGGCCACCATGTCGTTTGCATCGTCTAGGGCCATCCGGCGGTAGGTGCTGCAGCGGCGGGCCGTCCTGGCCGCCCCGACGCTCACCCTCGTCAGCCCCTCTGAGCCGGCGAAAGGTAGAGGAAAAGTTCACGAAGTCCACCTGAAGGTCGCGGGCCAACATGATCTGGCGGAGGAGCGTCACGGCGTTGCGCATCTCCCCACCGCCAGCGGTCTCTGCGTGTCTGGCTGGTGTTCGCGACGGGAGGGGGGTCGCCAGAAGGGATCGTGTCCATCCCCCCTCCCAGGGCCGAGGCGGTCACGACGCCGGCTGCGGGCCCTTCTTCCGGGCCGCCGCCGACTTCGCCTCCGCCTTGGCCTCTCGCGCCTTCCTCTTCTCCTTTTCGATCGCGTACTCCTTCGACATCTCGGATGCGACGTGAGCCCGGAGGGCGGGCGTCACCGTCACGCCTGTGCCCTCCTCGTCTTCGCCCATGTAGATGTGAGAGCCCTCAAACGCTGGCTTCTCAGGGTCGTCTCGATGGGCGGTCTCGAGCAGCATTCGGCGTCGATTCAGAAACTCGCAACAGGACAAGTTCGCGATGTTGAGCCCGTCCGACTCCATCGCGAAGGTGAGGGCTCGGCACAGGACTCGATTCTCATGGCCCGACCGCGATCCAGCAGGCGCCCTCGACTCCATCAGCCACCGGTCGTGGGCTGCGGTGAAACCCCCGAGGGAGCGCAGGTACATCTCGTTCACCGAGTCCTGCAGCGTCCCGGGGCCCTTGGTGTCCAGAGGCACGCTGGGATCCCGCACGACCAGGGCAGCGTCCGCGGCGAAGGCCACGGGAGTCGGAGAGCACGGCCGCGGCAGCAGGCGTGGGTCGCCCTTCAGCAGCGTCTGCTGGCGGCTCAGGCCCCAGGCGGCGAGGTCCGTGCCCGGCGCGACCTTGGTGAGCGACGCGATCTCCCCGTTCACCGTCACGAAGGCTCGGCCCCCCACGTCCAGCGCCGTCGGCGGCAGCGGCACCTCCTGCCCCAGCACGAAGGTGTCCACGGGCTCGTCCAGCACCCATGCCCCCGCAGGCCCCGCCAGGCGGGGCGGAGGCAGTGCTGCGGCCACGCCGGGGGCGGGCGGCACCACCACGGGCAGCGGCGTCGGGACGGCCACAGGGGCCACACCTCCCGGGCCAGCGCGGGCAGCGGCTCCAGGCGGCGCGGCCAGCCCGCGCGAGGCCCTCTCGACCTGCGCGTGGCGCTCGCCCTCGGCGAGGAGCTGCGTCAAGTCCGCGCCGGCTGGGCGCACCTGGAAACGGTAGACCTGCATGCCGGCCATCCAGAAGGGAAGACGGCCGTCGGAACTGCCCAGCCGTAGCCCTTGCAAGTCGGCATTGGCTGCATCGATCCGTTCGATAAAAATGTCCAGGTCTGGAGAAACCACTACATATTCGCTCGCAGGCACCCAGCATAGCATGATACGCTCATGGTACAGGTCATCCCCAACATAGCACAGAAAGGCTGACGAGCCAGCCTCCAGGAAAGCCATACTAGGCCTGCACGATGACGCCGAGCCTGCCCTTGCCTTTCACGGGCCCTGGAGGGACCGAGTCTGCGATCTGCGTGACAATGGGCCCGGGCGTCTCGACGAAGCCCCCGCTGTGTGCCCTCCAGGACTCGGCAGCCACCCGCCGCACCGGCAGGCCCACGCCTGCCCAGCAAGTGGTGAACACCGCGCCCACGATCAGCCCCACCAGCGCCTCGAGCAGCACGTCGCCCGTCCCCCAGCCAGGTGGCGGACAGACGGGGCAGGCCGCACAAACGGGCACGAGGTCCGACGGCCCGCACCGGTTGAGCTGCGACTGCAGCAGCTCGATCAGACCAGGCTCCGCAGCCGAGTCCGTGCAGTGGCAGTGCAAGGGCTGCGGCGCCACCAAATGGCTGAGCCAGGCGCCTATCACGTTGGTGACTACCCCGTGAAAATATGCCGTGAGGAAACTCATACACACAAGTGATACCTAGAGCCACAGTGGTTGCGGATGGCACGCTTCCCAGTCCCCCTCCTGGCACTCACTACCCTGTACACAGATCCATTATTCACCCTAAGACGAAGCCAAGACGAGGGTACATTCGGGTGAGGATAAATCGAGAATCTCTGAGATTCGGCGGTTCTGGAGGATGTCTCGGGAACCGCGGCCTTCTCAGAGTGTTCTGGAACGCTCTGGAGCAGATTTATCCGTCCTGGCCCCGCTCGACACGCCCTCCCCCAAGCGACCAGCAGCCAACCCAGACCCATGCAGAGCCCCTCCCACCATCCTCGTCAACAAGAAGAAGCAGAATACACTCTACCTCCAAATCTGGAGCATGCGCGGGCGCTCCCCGCCAACACTTTGAAGGGTTTTTGAAAGGGATGGCGGAGGTGCGCTCAGAATGCCTGCTGCGAGCAAGCCAACCATCCCTGTCAAAAAACGACACAAAATCCCCTTTGTCTCCAAATCTGGAGCATGCGCGGGCGCCCCGCGACCACTTTGCATTTGCTTTTGGAAAGGACGGCGGGGGTGCCCTCACAGTGCATGCTGCGTGCAGACCAACAACCCGTCTCAACTTATATTGTCAAATGCACGTTGCTTCCGAATCTGGATCATGCGCGGGTGCTCCCCGACCACTTTGTATGTGTTTTTGACAAGGGTACTCGGGTGCTACTTATGTGTTGGGAGGGCGGGTGGGAGTGAGCAGGAGGTGTCTGGATCCCTCTCCCTATCCCCTCCCCATGGTCTGGAAGGGATGGGCGGGCCTGGCCAGTTAGAGCGCCCAAGATGGCCCTATATCGACCTAGTATGGCCCCAGAGAACCCAATGAAACGGCACAAGGCAGTGCGATATAGCTTCAGATGGTATCCGATGAAATTCAAGTAGGCCCTAAAACCGCCTCAAGGCGGCTACAGGTGGCTACGGAGCCTCCTAAGGACCCCCCATCGAAGGTTCGAGTCCTTGGAGGGCCACACGAACAATACCGAGTTTTGCCTTCTCGCCCTTTTGCTTCCGATGATCGTTTGAGGGCTCAAGATGGGTCAATTTGCTCAACAGAGCCCCAAGAGGGGCCCATGAAGGCTCCAATACG